GGCGCAGAGTGCAGGCGTGCAAGCAACGTGGGTTCGGCGCAGCAGACGGCAAGGGCTGGTTCGGTGCAGCAGCAAGGGCGTGATTGCAGGATCTGGGCGCAGAGCAGGGAGCAGAGGCGTAGGTGCAAGGCTCGTGCGCTGGGCAGGGGTGCTGGTGCGCAGGGCGCTGGGGTGAGGGGATCTGGTGCGGGAGCTGGTGCGCAGGTTCGGTGCAGGGCAGGGAGAAGGCCGGGTCGGGAGAGAGAAAAGTAAAAGAAAAATGGAAGGAGGAGGTTCTGGAGAAAAAAAAGATTTAATCTTTTATTTATTTATTTTTTTTTTTGGGTTAAATGGGTTTGGTATTTGGGCTTTTGGGCTTTTGGGCTAGACTTTGCATTTCACCCCTCCAACTTTCCATTTCTTCAATTGGGTCCTTTTTCTCTCATCTTCCTTCCCAATCTTCTTCGTAAAATTTCCTTTTCGCTCCAGAACCTAACAAGGAAAACGAAAACAAAACATAGTAGTTAAAATAAAAATAAAAATAATATAATATTCTACTAAAATTTGAGTTATGACAGCTGTGTTGACAGGATGTGTTTCCATAACACTTTTCACTTTAAAAATATTTTTATAAAAAATTTTATCAAATACATTTTATTTTTAAAAAATAAACTTTTACAATAAATTCTCTTAAATAAAATTTTTATCAAAAACTTCAACCACGCTAAACTAGTTCTAACTTTCTTAGAATGAAAGAAAGGTGCTAGAATACAAAGAAAAAAAGAAAAGAAAAAAGAGAGATAGAAGATGCTGGTATTTCAAGAGTCAGCATTAAATATTACCCAAACAAAGTTAGCATAAAAATGATATCCATTTCCTGATGACCCGAACCATTAGTACCAATTTAATGATCCAAGTTTTATGGATCTTCTTCTTGCCTAGAATGGAGGTTCAAAGAGAAATTGGTGGAGTGGGGCAGATGAATTAACAAAATAATTTGATTTATTAGGCTGGGAAGCAATTGAAGAAGGAAGAAAGATATTTGGATCCCTGCAAGTTTGTCAGTGGAGGTGGAACCCAAAAGGAGATGGACGAAAGGTCTCAAACAGCAGAAAAAAGACTGTACGAAAAAAAAAAAGGGAGAAAAAAGAGAAGGCACGTTAGGTTAAGGGTTTAGTGGCCGACAATATATTATTACGTGTCAATTCTCGTTTAGTATGCATCCCGCGTGATATCACTGT